GAAAATGAGGAGCTGATACCAAGGGCTCAAGTAGAAAGAAAATGCTTTGAAAATGATGATGGCAACATATGTGCAATGTGCTTGACACAATGGATGAATTGTGATAAGAGATGTAAGAACCCCTAATAAAAGTATTTAATAATTTAAAAAAGGCCCTAGTCATTGTTCATCAAAGAGAGATGTAGGACATTGTTTTTGTGGACTCTGTTATACCAATTGACCTTAGTGTTCCCTGAAACTATGGCACTGTGATCTCAGACGGGGCTCATCACTTTTATCAGATTTTCCCAGGCTATCTAAGACCCAGAGATGGCAAAACCATGGGTCTAGAAGGCCACCGGAGATCTCTTTCAGCCCCGAGATGAGCACAGAAGACTGACCAAGACATAGGGACCCTTTGGGCTCCCCGTTTTCTGAGAAGGATACCTGATCTTCTTGGATGTGGAGTCGTACGTGGACACCATCACGGTGCAGGCCCCGCAGCCTCCTCGCCCACAGCCATGCTTGGTCCCTGTGAGACGTACTAGAAAGGAGATGGTCAAGGAAAAGATGCCAATAGGTAGTTGCCTCTAGGGTGTCACTGGAAGAATCGATGCATTTGAATTGTGGTGCTGGTGAAGAATATTGAAAGTACCAGGGGCTGCTAAGCGGACAAACAAACCCGTCTTGGAAGAAGCATGGCCGTAGCGCACCTTGGAGGCCAGGATGGCGAGACTTTGTCTCATGTGCTTTGGACATGTTGTCGGGAGAGACCAGTCTCTGGAGGAGGACATCATACTGGTAAAATCGAGGGACAGTGAAAAAGAGGAAGGCCCTTCAAGAGACAGACTGACACCGTGACTGTGACAATGGGCTCAGGCATAGGAACCACTGGGAGGAGGGCCCAGGACCAGGCAGAGTCTTGCTCTGTTGTGCACAGGGTCACTATGGGTTGGCACCTAACAGCAACAGGGTGTCACTGCAAGGAAGGTCTCTTGGAGGGGGAGAGAGGCGGATCTAAGAAGTATTTCCTCTCCCTGTAGGTCTCCATAAGGCCACTCCATGTTTTATTAAATGCTATGGAACATCAGACACATTTATGTGCCCCCTGTCTGTTTTCTCACTTGCAAAAGGGGGAAAGCTGGTACTTACCTCACTTTCTGAGGCTTAATCTATGCATCTTGTAAGGCATTGCCTGTAAAAGCCCTTTGAAAAATTCTACATCCTTATGTTGCTGCTAGTTACCATCAACTTGATCCCAACTAGTCCGGACCCTGTGTGTGCAGACCAGGACTGCTCCTTCAGATTCTCAAAGCATTTGGAAGCAAATCACCAGGCCTGTCTCTGAGGTGCTCCTTGGGGGACTTGACTTGCTAACCTTTCAGCAGGTAGTTAAGTGTTTAATGCCCCAACACTCATCCTATGTCATCTTCCAGGCTCTAATCATGTATGTAATTAGAAGAGAGAACTTTATTTCATAGCAGACTCATTTTCTCCAGTCATTTCGACTCCATTTCAAAGCAAGTTAGGGAGACATCCCTGTCCTTGTCTCAGATCCAGCCTTGCACACTCTGCCGCTCCTGCCTGGGTCAGGTCTTAATCCCACCTCTAGGCCCGGCTCAGTTTCTTTAGAGAAATCCGTCCCTTCCCTCCTCGTGGCTCATCTCCACACCATTGGTGGCATTGGATGCAGGTAACTTAGCCCTCTGAGAAGACTTCAGGGTGTGGAACTCTGTTGCTCTTACTTAAAAAAAAAAAATTATTATTATTTTAAACCACAGGCCTTGTCTATCAAAACGAAGAATTTTAGCTTCCATGGTTATCAGAGTAGTTAGGTAACTGGGAGAGTGGGCTGGGCGTAACTAGTGCCTGCCCATCCCACTTTAGACTGAGGAGGAGGGCAGGCCCCATTCAGATCGTAAGATGGTTGCTTCCCAGGAGTGACTGTCTTCCCATTTTTCACGAGGAATAAAGATTTTTAAAACATATAATTTCCTAATGCTCACATGTTGAAAAATGGAAAAACAGACAACAGCAACAACGAACCTATGGGGGCTTTTAAACAAAACGTTTCTGTCTGGCCAACTCTGTCTACTCTTGTCATTTCGTTATTGGTTTCTGTTGACCTCTCTGAGAGATCTAGGACTCTACCCTGCTCGTTGTGTGGAATGCAGATCTGCATTTCAGAACATAAGGTGGCGGGCAGGGCAGACATGGTGTGAGGAAACAAACATAAGGAAATGACATCTTTTTGAGGACCAGTGTGCCCGAAGAACCTGGAGAATTCGGTTTCGCTCAAGGGCAGCGCCTGCAACCCAAGCCTCTGTTACATAACCTTTCAGGTGGGGAGCTGGCCAGCCCTGAAGGGGCTAACTAGTGCTGAAGTAAAGAGCTTAGCTTAGATTTCACTGCTGTTAAACCAAGATATGAGAAACTCTAGGGAAACTTCCTCCTGTCCCAGAGTCCAATTAACCCAATAAACTCATCACACTCCTCAAACAAATAGTGAGCAAGGACCAAGGGCGTGGGCTGTTTGGGGAGTGAAGGGGGCTGATTTCTTCCCATAATTGCAGCGGGTCTAAGTTTTTAAACAGACAGAGTCGAAGCCAAGAGTTTGACCAAAAGGATCCAGTTCTTTCTCAGGAAGGTCAGCAGAGTCACCTCCGGCTCCACATTTCTCTCTATCACCTGTGTTAGCAACAGAAAAGAGATTATTTTCGGGTTGGGGCAGTGGCCCCGTGGAATGTCAGCTGTGGTCTGTTTGCTTTAGGGATTAGAGTATAATGTTAGGTTCAGTTCCATCAGCCCTTGTGTTTTTGCGCTCTGAGAGCAAACAGCTTTCACACAATGTACAGAGCAGGGGACATGGAAAGGAAATGTGGCGACAAGGCTCCTCTGTGACTCGTGCTAGAAACCACCGGTGTGGAAAAGGAAGTGCCTGGCAGTCGTGCGGGGTCTTCCCTTTTGCTCCGCTAGCCATCCTTGTGGAATCCTGTGACCCAGTCTCTTGGACTCTTGAACTATTTAAAATTGGATGAAATATTTTAGCGTGTCTGTGCACATACGTATTTGCAATGCAAGGTCTTGGTGGGAGGAAAGCTTACTGGGTGGGGAGAGGGTTTTTACCCTGGTGGCCAGGAAGCAGCTCTAATGGGAATACATTTAATAACATCTGGGGACGTAAGCAAAGTGCCCTGTTGGCACAGTGGGTTAGGTTTTGAGCTGGCGTTCAAATTCACCAGCTGCTACATGGGAGGGAGAGAGGCCGACAGCTTCAGTACAGCTTGTAGCTTAGGAGGGCCTGTGGAGCAGCGTCACGCTGTGCTCGCGAGTTATGATGAGTCGAGATCCACTAGATGAGAGTGGGTTTGTTTTTGGTCTGGAGGCCTTCAGAGAGCTGGCAGAAAGGGAAGTTGGGGGCATTGCTGTCACCCAAGAGAGGGCCTAGAACCAACTCGATGGTGAGACATGATGCCCTAGCTCAAGACCCAGGGAACTTCTAGAATTCCTAACCCCCTCACCTTGGAAAGTGGGGGATTAGTTTTCCCCACACCAACTGCCACAACCCTTTTTCCTGAAGCAGCTGGTGGGTTTGAACTGCTGACCTTTTGGTTAGCAGTAGAGGGCCTTAAACGCTGCGCCACCAACACCCACTCTCTGGATCTTTACCCACTGCCATTGAGTGGATTCGAACACACACTGACCTTATATAGGACTTCTGAGACTGTCAGTCCTTATGAGGACAGACAGCTTCATCATTGTTCAGAGGAGTGGCTGGTAGTGTCAAACTTGTGATCTTGTGGTTAGCTGCAGCCCAATTCCTCACCTACTGAACTCATCAGGGCTCTTTTCTGGATTTCTAGGGGGCCCTTAATTAACAAAAGAAGAAGCCCTCCCCTGCCAACCCTGAACTAGCCATTTAAAAACTGTTTCCTGAGACTGTGGCTGGATGCTATTTTTGAAGAGGTTGTTGACTTCTGCCAACACCCCGCACGTCTGTCTTTTCTCTAACCCTAGAATGATACCTCTTTCTAGCTATTGCTTCCTTTTCCTGGGTTCATGACTCAGGAAAGAACGTGGAGCAGAATCTAGTGGAAGGAACCATCTCTGGCTTTTTGTCTCAGAAGCTTCAGCAATAAGTAAGGACATGGAACACAAATGGTAGAATGTAGTGTAGTGTTTACGTATTGGGCTGTGATCTGAAAGGTCAGCAGTTCGAAACTACCAGCCACTCTGCAGGAGAAAGATGGGGCTTTCTACTCCTATAAAGAGTTAGAGTCTCAGAAACCGATAGGGGCGGTTCTACCCAGTCCTCCAGGTTTGCTATGAGTCAGGACTGACTCAGTGGCAGTGAGTTTTTGGTATGGTGATTGCTGATGGTGGAGACTGGACCCAGCAGGGAAGGTTAGGAGGGGAGAAAGGAAATGTAGGGACTCCGTGCTCTATTTATTTCTTGTTTTGCACCAAGTCCCGGGAGTGGGGATGAGGATGATGATGAGGATGGTGACATGCCACTTAGGTTGGTGGAATCAGAGAACTGGAGGGCTTTGAAGAGGAGGTAGCAAGGCCACAGAGAGGGCACATGCCTGGGGAACAACAGAATGGTTCCTTTGAGAGACTCACGATCAGAACAGAATTAAGCAATAGCTTGGGTGAATTGTTGGCAAGAGCCAGTGGGGCGATGGCGCTCACAGTGATTCCAGGGAAAAGTAACAATGGAAGAGACACTCCCTTGACTGAATTCCACCCTGGAACTTAGTTGCAACCCTGGAAAAGAGGGGATGTCCCATGGACCGTGATTACATTTGACCAATCCTGTATCATGGGGACTTGAGAGGAACGTTAAGTTCATTGGTACAAAGACACACAGGAGGCAGACGTGGCAGTTTGCTTCTGTAAAGACCATAGCCTTGCGAACACTCGGGGCAATTCTCCTCTGCCCCACAGGGCTGCTGTGAGTCAGAATGGGCTCAACAGCCACGGCTGATTTTTTTTTAATAGAAAAATAAAGTTACATTTCTCATCCACCTACATTTGAGGATCCAGATCTGTTACTAAAGACGTCTGGAGGATCAAGCCTAGTGCTGAGTGCTCTGTGAGCATGCAGGAGCGTCTTCGTCAACGAAAGAAGAAGCTCCTTTGCAATCTTTACGTGAGCTCTAGGAAGAGGATTCTCCAGCTCTAGGAAAAGGGATGAAAAGGGACTCCGAGGTTCAGAGAGGCTACACAACAAAAGGAAGAACAGGACTGAAACCGAAGCTGACCCGGACCCACGTATGTGCAATCAACCTCCCAATAAAGGTTGTGCTGCCTCCCCACATTCCCAGAGCCCAGCCTCGGAGAGGAGAGAAGGCCACGTTAGAATGGATTCTTGGAGCCTGCGGCTAACCAAAACCAGTTGCCCTTGAGTGGCTCTGTGCATGTCAGGTTGGCCAGTACTCTATAGCGTTCTCAAAGGATGGTTTGTAAAGAGCTACTCAGGCCTCTCTTCTGAGGCACATCTCCAACCTTTTGGTTAGCAGCCAAGTGAGTTAACCATTTGTACCACCCAGCAACTCCAGTCCCTGACACCTGGCCCTTGAACAATACAAAGTTTCAGCCTGAAGGAACCACAGGGGCTGCCCCCAATCTAGGGGTTTCCTGTGGGTCCGGCAGGCCACGGCCGCAATGCGCAACACTTACTTTTCTCCCGTTCACAAAGAAAACCAAGTCATCGGATCTTGTCGGGCACAGCATTGCACCTGTAAGCTTCGCCTTAAAATTCTAGGTGGAAATGCTCTTTGGCACCTGTGTCTCCGAGCAGAAAGGATTTAGGTGACCCGAGCCTCAGAGAGGAGGGCAGGAGGGAAGGTTCCCTTGCTTCGTGGCCTTTTAAGTGGAGGGCACCAGTGAGGCCCGCCCTTTCCTCCTGCCTCCTCTGCCAACCACCCGTCTTGGCTTGGGAGCCCGCTCTGCATTCACTCACACCCTGCATCTCTTCCTGCTTCCCTCCCTGGTCCTCGGAGTGAGATCACAAACGACAATCGAAGCTTAAACCTACCTCCCAAACGGCCTCCGCCCCAGGAGCACACCCCGGAAGGATCTCCGTATTCTAAAAGAGAACCGCATTTTGCTTAAACCTGACGTTTGTCTATTTAGAACCTTTCCATGACCTCCCATCCCACACAACCCCACATCCTTGCTTCCGAGGGACCATGGGTTGGTCCCGCCCACCTCTTGAACACACCCCTCTCTCTCTCTTTTCAGATCTTAACTTTTCTTTTTTCTTTTTCAACTTTTTATTGTGAATTAGGCGGGGCTCTCCATTTGGGACCCTCACAATTTTTCTATGTTTTACTACAAATCTGTCTTGTAGTTCTTCCTCATAGATCCAACCAACAGCAGTCCTGCGAGTAAAGCAAATGACATAGTTACTCTGTGAGGCGTTTCCAACGATGTGAGTCTACAGAGAAAGCCCCATCGGATAGACCCCAAACGACCATCACGATTGAAACAACATCTCAATCCTCCCAGTAACTCGCCCGGTCCCCTCTTTGTTTTTTACTCTTTACCCTTTGTAGAATACTTCTCTTCTAGTCCACTGGGCCCTCTCACCTCCTTTCCTCTCCAATCCCTGGAGATCATCAAAGTCTGGTCCTTTCAGTCTGAGAAACTTTCGCCTTGATTTTTTCTTTCGTAACAGGGCTGGGGAATGTTTGTTCCTGCCAAGGACCATTTGGCTAGTTTTACCACCCTTCTGGTGCCAGACAGGTCAAACATTGCATGAAATCAGCCCCCAGTGGGAGACGGGGCCGCTTCTCTTTGGTGAGGCCTGTGCCGTTAGCTGGAACTGATGATTTCGTGGGCCTTACATGCCCCATGGGCCCGATGGGCCCTACCTCTGTTTTATAATGGTGGTCTCCTACAATATTCCTGCCTTGGTAATGGACTAACTTTACGGAGCATAATCCCCTCCAAACCCATCCTTATCATGAAGTGCTTCACAGTCTCATTGCTTTTGAACACATTTTAAAGTACCCTGTCTCTTGTTCATAATCTCTGCCAGACTGCTCTTTCCCCTGCCCCTTGAATTTGCTGATTTCCCTCCTGTCTTCAGGCCCTGATGCATGCTATTTCCTTGGACTTGACGTCTCTCCTCTCAGACTTTCAGCATGGTCGTGCCTTCTTGGTTTTGGGGTGTGAGCTTACACCCAGTCTAAAGTAGCTCCCATCTCACCATGCTTCATTTCCCCTGTACTACACATCACTCCCTGGCATGGCTACAGCTCACCTTGGGGCTGTCTGCTTTCTCTACTAGAATGTAAGCTCCATGTGGGCAGAGCCATTACTTTTGATTCACCACTGTGCCCCAAGGCCAGCATGGTGCCTACCACAGAGGAAATGCCTCCAAAGTGTTTGCTGAATGGTCAATGGTTTGCCCATGCCTGTAACAATGACAATGGTGTCCCTGTCTTGCCACGATCCCCTCCCCATCCCTTTACTTGCTACCAAATGCAGCTCCATACACACAACCACAAGGGTGAACCTGGAGAATGTTTCGTGAGATACAAAGAGACAAATATGAATGATCTCATTTATAGAAACTATCCAGAGAAGGCAAATGCAGAGAGACCAGGTTTATTCATGGCCCCTAGGGGCTGCAGGAGCCCTGGTGGCATAGTGGTTGTGCATTGGATTGCTAACTGGAAGGCCAGCCGTTCAAAACCACCAGCTTTGGGAGAAAGATGGGCTAATTACTCTCATTAAGAGTTATGGTCAAAAAAAAAAGAAAAGAGTTATGGTCTTGTGTTGACAGGATCAGGTATCAGGTATCAAAAGATCCAAAACAAACAACTATATCAATGTGAACACTCACATGTGTGCGTGTGTGTGTGTGTGTATGTGTGTGTGTAGTGAAGACCCAAAGCCTATGTGTAGACAATTGGATCTTCCCCCACAAAAGGGTTATAAGGAAGGGATGACTCAACCAAGGTGTAGTATAGCACTGATGAATCATCCCTCTAGTTCCTGAATGCTTCCTCCCCCCTACTACCATGACCCACTTCTACCTTATAAATCTGCTAGACCAGAGAACACACATTGGTGCAGATAAGAGCTCTCAACACATGGAATTCAGAACAGATTGAACCCCTCAGGAACAGTGAATGGATTCAGGTCTCTTCATTGTTAACTTAAAAATGATTAAAAAGGCACACTTTTCATTCTATATACATTCTCTATAACAACACGAAGCAGTTTTAAACCCTCTTTTCTTTGAACTCTGAAAGCATCAGTAAAGCCAAACCAATTGTTTGTGTACTTTCCATTTAGTTAACCAGGAACTAGGAAGCTGGTCGCTAATCTGCCACGAACAGTTGATTGTCTCTGCCTCTCCTTTTCCTAAGTAGGGAATAAGCTCAAGGGAGGTGAGCATAGCTTAGTGCGTCCCTCATCATATTCAGCACCGATGGCAACTTGTTCATGAATAAATGCTTGGTGGGTTACCACATGGATGGTTCATTCATTCTACTAGTAGTTACTGATCATCTGCCTGTCTGTCTTGCACTCTGCTAGTGCTGCTAGTGGGACAGTGGAGAAGAAGACCTACCTGTTTCTTTCTCTGGGGAATGTATCGTTTAGCCAGGGAGAAGGCTACCATTAAAATGTATCTTTGTGACCAGTGCGGCTGGAGCCCAACAAAGAACAGGGGTTTTAATAGCCTTGCTTTGGGCAGAGAGGCCTGACAAGACCTCTCTGAAGAAGAGGATTGAAGAGGCATTGATTCCCCAAGAGTTGGGAGGAGAGGGGGAGGCAGGCAGGGGCAGGCTGGGGGATAGAGAAAGCTGCATGTGGAGACACAGGCCCTTCCATGGCTGCTTTCTTCGAAAGGAAAACCCACGCAGACCCACAATCTGCTGATCAGGCCACTCTTCACGTAGAAAAGGGCATCGGGGAACACAACGACCAGTAAGCCAATTGCTGCCAAGTGAATTCTGACTCGTGGCCACCCCATGTGTCTCCCAGGCAAACTGTGTTCCACAGGGGTTTCCAGGCCTGATTTTTTGGGAGATGGATCTCCAAGCCTTTCTTCTAAGATGCCCCTGGATGGACTAGAACCTCCAACTTTTCAGTTAACAGCCTGACCTGTTACTGACTTGCCTCACCCAGAGGTTCCAGGGAACCCAAAAACCATTTTCACGGATGCTGCTAGTGACTGTAAGAAGCATGAATTGCAATGCTTCAACTTGTTTATAAGAACAAATCCTTCCCTGCCAACATACACACGCATTTAATGTTGAAAAAGTAGTTTTAGAGTGCTAAATCGGATTATGGTATTAGATTTGGCAGATATAAAAATACTTTGGGTTAGGAAACCCAATTCATTAATTGCTGGGAAACTGAAAACCGAACCCAAATTATCTGAGAGGAGTATTTTTCAAGCTTGTTTGTGCCAGGGCCACCTGTCGGAGCGGATTTTTATAATATGTCCACGGAGGTGGGCCAGGGCCTTGACTCCCATGCTTCCTTCCCATCCTTCAGGAACTCCCACGGCCTTGGGCAGTTCACTTTGAGGACCACCCATTCCAGAGTGAACACAAAGTTGCCCACCGTTTCAGGGTAGCCTGCAGTCTCTGCCACATCCTCTGGACTCACAGATGATGTACTGGAGAGCCCTGGGGACCCTAAGGTGAGGATGGCACTGCAAACTGGAAGGGTGATGGTTCAAACCTGCCAGCCATTCTTCAGGAAAAAGATGGACAGTCTCAGGGACCTGATGTAGCTTCACAGTGAGTCAGAATTGACTTTGTAGCAATGGTTTCAATCATTGTTTGGACACCCGTGTATTACATGTGAGCATTAGATGATTCACTATGTGAACACCCAATCCTCTCTATGGTGCATGGACCTCTCCCTGGGTGACACTTGGAGCTTTGCTTTCTGTTGGGAGAAGCCCAGTGCTGACCTCTGAGTGTAAGTGACTTCAGAAAGCCTTGGGTGAAGGGGAAGGCAATGTATAATAAGAGAGAAGCCAGCAAAAAATGATGAAGGCCCAGGAAGACACTGAAGGGAGTACAAGAGTTAAAGCAACAGAGGGAAATTTGAATAATTATGGAAACAAAGGACATTCTGTTTTGGCACCCCCTTCCCCGGCCCCCAAAGATTTTCTGGAGCAAAAAACCCAACCAACCAATTGACCTACCAACCAAGCAACCAAATAATTTAGGGAAGAAGGTGGAGATAGTCACTGTTAAAATGCCAATTACTGACTTTGCAAGCAAGTTCAACCTACTTAAGTAAAATAGTGCATCAAAAGAGCTGAAAGAGAATCCATGGAATGGCAAAGCGTCTTCCACCAGGACACTGGGCAAGGGGTTAATGTCTGAACTCTATAGGAAAACTGCGACACCTCAATAGGAACAAGACAAATCGATATATGGATTGTTATAAGAGCCCCCAATAAAATGATTTATTAAAATTTAAAAAATAATAAGAAAAAGACAACTCAATTAAGAAGTGGGCAAAGGATCTGGACAGACAGTTCAACCAAAATACTTGCAAATAGCCAACAACCCTTTGAAGAACTGCTCATGATCACTAGCCATCTGGGAGGTGCAAATCAAAACAATGACGAGATACCACTTTACACTAACAATGGCAACCAAGTGAAAAAAAGCACCCAACAACAACAACAACAACACATACAATAGCAAAAGCTGGAGAGAGATCGGAACCCTCATCTATGCCTGGTGGGACTGCAAATATGTACAGCCACTGCGAAAAGGTAATGTAACACCACCTCAAACACTGGGAATAGAAATTCCACTTGATCCAGCAATTCCTCTGCGGAGTATGTACCCTGAAGAAGTAAGAATCACAACAAAAACAAACATTGCACACCCATGCTACAGCAAGAAGATGCAAACAATCCAATGCCCGTCAGCAGAAGACTGGATAAAGAAGCTTTGGTAACCTCACACAATGGAATATGATGCACTGCTAAAAACCAGTGATGAAACCACAGAGTATCTCATGGCCTGGATGGACCAGAATGAATTGAGCTAACCACAAAAGGTCAAATATTATGTGAGGCCTCTGGTAAAAGAGAAACAAACAAACAAACAAACAAACAAGATAATGGCTTTCACCCCAAAGACTTTGGAGATCGCCCAGAAGGGTAGGACAAGGAGGGAAATATAAGCTGTGGGCTAGACCATTGGGGGGTGTTAACTTGGGTGAAGTGGAAGACAGTGGTTCACCGGAAGGAGAAGAGATATCAAGGAGCGGAGGAAGGGTCACCTTCTGGAGAGTTCGATTCATCGTTTGAACTGTGGACCACAAGTTGATGATCTGGAGTGTAAATCCCACCTAATTTGCAATAAAACGTTGTTCAAAAGAAGAAAGCAAGCAAAGTGTAACCAATATACCTATAGACCTAAGCACGGGAGCCCTGGTGGTGCAGTGGTTCAGTGCTTAGCTGCTAACCGTAAGGCCTGA